AGAAGAGAAGAGAAGAGAAGAGAAGAGAAGAGAAGAGAAGAGAAGAGGATTTTTATTGGCCAAGTGTGATTGGACACACAAGGAATTTGTCTCAGGTGGATAAGCTCTCAATGTACATACAAGCAATAAATGTTAAATCATAACCATAATCATTGTAAAAATACATTCCTCATAAATCATAAGATACAACATTTAGTGATAGTCACTGCAGGGACAAATAACATCCACCTTCTGTCTCCAGCAAAAATAGGCCGCTCTTCATTGTTTTCATTCCATCGTCCTGATTTAATCCCTGCCCTTCCCCATCTTGCCAAGAACATCAAGGTTTTTACACGAGCCAGATCTTCTGCAATTTACTTTCAAATAGGTGTGTAGGATCGCCCCTGGCTACCATCCTATCAAAACTCATTGCAGAGGTGGAAGTCTTGTTGAAATCTTTGGCATTCCAGAAAATAGGGTTCAGCTTTTAGCTACCCCTTCACCCAAATCAAAGTATTTATTTTCTCTTATTTATCACATTTTGAAAATAACATCTTTTCCCAGGCTTTTGGAGGCTTCCCACATAGCATGACACTGCCACCCAAGGCAGAACCCTAATAACCTGAGATAAATTGGGGAGGGGTGAGCCCCCTCCAAATAAGCCCTGCCAGTGCCAGATTCTCCACACACACACACACACACACACACACACCTCTCCCAAAGTATCCAAGAACAAAAACTCCCTTAGGAAACAGAAGGAATACAAAGCAGCATAAATACTCAGTTTCCAAGTTTCAGAGAGAAATGTCTATGGAAATTCTCAGTCATCCAGGTCATGGCTGTCCCAAAAGTGCTTTTTTCAAAAGGCAACTGGACTTTCTGGTGTTTCTTTGATGACATTTTGCTTCTCATCCAAGCTCTGAAGCTGAAGAAGCGTCTTGGATGAGAAGCGAAACCTCTTCAAAGAAAAACCGGAAAGTCCAGTTGCCTCTTGAAGAAGCACCTTTGAGAGAAGTCAGAGAGAAGACCCTTGCCTGTGCATTCGGCAAGTATGATTGAAGCCCTCTTCATTGCTTTGTTCTGGTGAGTTACCATTCCCATCTTTGTTTCTTTTTTATGTTTTTTCTTGCTTTTAGGTGTTTTAGCCTTTTGTAAATTTGTTGGGAGTTGGATGGCATATAAATTAAATGAATGAATGAATGATTAGGAAAGAAAAAGGAAGAGGACAGTGGGAACTTCTGCACTGAACTCCAATTTTGATCGAGTTTTTATTAATGAATAAACATGTTAAGATCATGCAGTCAAGAGCCCTTCTTTCTCTTTTGGTAGAATAAGGACATTCAAACTTGAGTTTTGAGTTAGACATTCAACCAACTCATTTGTGCCAGACATAAAAACAAAGACCATCTGTTAGTTGGTAACTAGCTGAAAGGTTTAATTTCTGTGGTGCCATTCTCTCTATCATTATTACTGTCAATTGTAATTACAACAGAAGATAATGAGGGGAATTGGTAAGATTTTTATCCACCTTGTCTTTTTTGTGTCTTTTTGTCACGCTTTGTTGTATCAGTGACTTTCCTTTCATAAATGTACCTCAATGCTTGGGTTTCTTGACCATTTTTTTCCTCTGGTTGAATCTCAGCTTGAGTTTGCTTGTCTGCAAATGGCTTGGTGCTTTGGTAAGGATTTTTTTTAGAGTATTGACTTTCTCTTAGAGCAGGGGTGGGCAAACTACGGCCCGGGGGCCACATCCGGCCCGTTGGTCTGTCCAATGCGGCCCGCCCCTGAAAAAAAATCACTGCCGTTGGTCTGTCCAATCCGGCCCGCCCCTGAAAAAAAATCGCTGGGTGTGGCGTATTGCCCTGTGCCGCGTGGCCCCCAAAGCTGCAAAACAGTGCGGAGCGATCTAGGGGTAGGAAAGAAAAGAAATTTGCAAAGGCCTCGGCTGGGAGTTTGAAATCACCTTCGAGTGCGACCTCTCCGAAGGTGAGTCCCCGCCGATCCCCCCTTTTTTTCCGGGGCTTCCAGGCTTAAACTTTGCAAAGGCAAAGCTTGCAGGCTGGAGCGTCTTCCCGCCGAGGAGCGGGAAAGGTTCCACCCGGCGGGCGGGGCAGGCTGCTTGGAGCCACCTAAAGCTAGGCCGCTGCTGGTGGAGCCTTGCCTTGCCTTGGTGCCCATTTCCCGGCTCGGCGGTCCTGCTCGGGCGGCACTTTAAAAGCCTACTCCCAGCACCCGAGCAACTTCCCAGCAACTTTCGGCTTCGTTTTAACTCGCGGGCGCCAGGCATGATATTCCGCTCTGAAAAAAAAAATCGGGGCCGGCCAAAAGAGACCCCCTGCCGCGCGCCCGGGGAGTGCCCGCTGCTTTCCCTCGCCGGGGCCGGGCGGCACCGTGTTGCACGGAGGCTGGTCTGTGGCTGGCCCAGCTCCCTTTTCCTGCCGCTCAGCGGCCTCCGCTCGCACCGCCCGGGCTCCGCTCAGGTATCCGGCTGGGGCTGTCAGGAGTTGCTACCGCCGGTGCAGCTCCACGCGGCTCCAGTCCCGCGTTGCCTCGGGAAGGGAAAGGCAAAACCAGGAGCCGCTGCTGCCGTTGCAAAGCGCCGCCGCGGCTCTTCCTTTTTGCCTTTCCCTTCCTGAGGCAACGCGGGACTGGAGCCGCGCGGAGCCGCGCCAGCAACTCCTGACTCGGGGCCTCCGAGGGGAGGGGAAGGAGGAGAAGAAGGGGTGGGGGGAAAGGAGGGGGCGATTCCCAAAAAAATCGGAATTCCGATTTTAATCGGAAGAATATCATGCCTGGGGCGCTCGCGCCTGGCCCCGAGCCGCGCAGCGGAGGGGAAGCCCGGCGGGCAGGCAGGCTGCTTGGAGGAGGAGACCCAGCGGCGCTCCGGGCTTCCCCTCCGCCGTGCGGCTCAGGGCGAGGCGCAAGCGCCCGCGAGTTAAAACGAAGCCAAAAGTTGCTGGGAAGTTGCTCGGTTTTCCGGGGCTTCCAGGGCTTTGCAAAGGCAAAGTTTGCAGGCTGGAGCGTCTTCCCGCCGAGCGGGAAGGGTTCCGCCCGGCGGGCGGGGCGGGCTGCTTGGATCGGGCTGCTGTGCGGCTCGGGGCGAGGCGCGAGCGCCCGCGAGTTAAAACGAAGCCGAAAGTTGCTGGGAAGTTGTTCGGATTTCTGGGGCTTCCAGGCTTAAACTTTGCTCGGGCGGCACTTTAAAAGCCTGCTCCCAGCACCCGAGCAACTTCCCAGCAACTTTCAGCTTCCTTTTAACTCGCGGGCGCTCGCGCCTGGCCCCGAGCCGCGCGGCAGAGGGGAAGCCCGGCGGGCGGGCGAGCTGCTTGGAGGAGGCGACCCGGCAGTGCTCCGGCAGCAGCAACAGGCAGTTTCGCCCGGGCTCCGCTCAGGTGTCTGGCTGGGGCTGTGAGGAGTTGCTACCGCCGGCGCAGCTCCGTGCGGCTCCAGTCCCGCGTTGCCTTGGGAAGGAAAAGGCAAAACCAGGAGCCGCTGAGCCTGAGCCTCCGGTGCCGCTGCTCCCATTGCAAAGCACCGCCGCGGCTCTTCCTTTTTGCCTTTCCCTTCCCGAGGCAACGCGGGACTGGAGCCGCGCGAAGCCGCACCGGCGGTAGCAACTCCTGACTCAGGGGGCCTCCGAAAGGAGGGGAAGGAGGAGAAGGGGGGGAAGGGTGGGGGGGGGCGATTCCCAAAAAATCTTGTGCTGACCCGGCCCGTCTGTCAAATTTTAAAAGTCAATGCGGCCCCCGAGCCAAAAAGTTTGCCCACCCCTGTCTTAGAGGTTTCTTCTCTGGTACAATACCCAGACCTTAATTTATTTTTATCCCAATCATTTTTTTTTAGCTGATGGCACTCTTTCAATGTCAAATCTGCTTAACAGCCATCAAAAGTCAACAGGCCCTTACTATAATTAATTAAATTTATTTTTCTCCAAGTAAAGCAGTAAGCACTAACCCTCTTGTTTATTTGCTCTGGATATATTTATGATGGTCTCCTCACTGAAACTTTAAAGTGAATAACTTCAGGGTTCAAAGTGGTTTATCTGAATGAAGAAAGTTTATCTTCTTTGGCTATTACGCACATCTTTTATTTCATTTTATTTATATTTTAATGTTGTTTCTATGTTGTATGTTTCTAAGGCCTATCAATAACCAAAATACTTTGTTGTTGGATTCAGTATTTATACACGATTAGTGACTACCTTTAGAGACCATCCCAGCATAGCACTGCATCCCACATATACGCACATTAGCCAAAATCATTCAGTTTCTTATTGAATTATATACTCATTTATATAGGAAACAATAAAGTAAGTGTTTTCATTTTGCAGGTCTTAAGAGTATCTCAGTCCTCACAAAATGGTAATTCTGTTGCAGTTCCATGTGGTGGTGGGGGAATTCCTTTTTCCTCCATCCTGTCTCCCTGATAAATGAAAAAAATAATAATCAGAATACGAAAATACATAAACAGATGCTACACAGAATATTAAGAAGACAACTTACTGGATATATCACAGGCTTCTTTTCAATAATCCCATAGGGAGTGGGCTGCAAACAAAAACAGAAGAATAATGATTATGAAGAAAGAAGTAATTTGGACGTTCTTTGGAATTTATCTGATAGATTTTTCCTCTCTTGGTATCTGTTCAATTCCTTGTATTATGGAATCTGTACATTTGACCTCAATGTGTTCTCAGCAAAATTCTCTGCAGCCAAGTTAAATCGGAATATAGACATTTTCACGAATAGGAGGTAATCGTTTTTTAATTAGGCTTCTAGAAAATACCTGTATCTGTTTCTTATTTGTGCATATCAGCACATGAGTGAATAACACAGTTTCTTAACAGTGAAAGAACACATTTCCGAAATTACACAGGTGCTTACTAAATATATTACTGGTACGGTCAAATGCCAGTATTAGAATGGGGAATAGTGGTGTAGTAAAAAAAGAGATGAGAGTTGAAGCTCATCACACTAAGATTCTATTTCATAGTTTTCAAAGGAAGACCCAGGACACTGCAGAAACATCTGTGCATCGTTGACGCTAACTGCTTTGGTGGTTTTATTTTAATTTAAAATTTTGTATTTTGCTGCAGAGTCAAATCCCACAGGTAATTAAATTTTCAGAACCTTATTTCCATTAACACATTTCATTCAAACCAAATATAAAACAATGTACTGTCATACAACACCCTAAGCCAAAATTTACTCCGTCTGTTTGTCTATGAATGTATGATTGCTAATGCTCATGAGTTGGAAAGAACCATAAAACCATTGTGAAAGAATTTGGCCTCCCTCAATCTATGGTCAGTCGAATACTGCATGATGAGAGAAAAAGCAATAACGCTGCGGAGTACATTAGGAAGATGACCTTGAAGAAAATGGGCAAGAACTATTATAAAAGGGGCCTGAAAAATTCCTTATGTCTTGGGCAACAAGAGTATTTAGAAGAGACTTAAGCAGGCTCGTCTTCGATATAAGAGCAGTTAAGCACAATCAGGCTTGCAAGATTTTATTGTTCTGTCTTGCCTATCTCAAGAAAGAACAGCTCTAATCTTCCCATGGAGTCAGTTTCCTAATCAGGTCTACCCTGAAGGACATGTGTGGTAATCCAACACATAATCAACCCAACAGCAAGACATACAATACTCTTGTTAGGTCACGAACAACCGCAGGGATCTGCAGGCCATTCTTGCTTTTTCTGATGCCAATGTTCATAAATCCACTGTAAGGAATTTTCTAAAAAAAGAGTGCTGTGCACTGGAGAAAACCACTGCTGCACTCGTTGAAAGCAGATTGCTCACCCCAGTACCCTCTGCTTGTCTCAAGTTTGTCAAAAGCCATACGGATGATGTAGCAGGCTGTTTGAACAATGCCATGTTGACAGGTGAGGCGAAAGCAGAACCACTAGGCATTGATGAAAAACACTACATATTGTGGGGGGAAATGTTGATATGCTGCATTCCAAGAAAAGATCTTCATTGCAACCATGAAAAATGGTAGAATCAACGTGGCTCGGGGCAGTTTCCCAAATTGCTCAAGATTATTGAGTGAACAATGGGTAATTTGCAGCAGATATCAAGGCAGGATATATTAGCTAAAATGAGTGGTGCAGTGGCCTAGAGGTGGAGCTCTTGCCTCACAATCAGGAGGCTATGAGTTCAATCCTAGATAGAGGCAGATATTTCTCTCTGGGCACACTGAGAATATATCTGTTGGAAAAAAAAAACACCTCCTCATTGGCGACAGGAAGGGCCAGTAAACACTCATCTCCATTCAGTTGCCCAGATTCCATCCTGCAAGGTTGGGTTGTTAAAGAGGATGATAATGATACATTATATCTAAAATGGCTACCAATTGGGAGGAGAGGAGGAGAAAAAAAACTTAAGACTGGAACAGTGGGTAGAAACAAACAAAGGAATTTAATATGCAGAAACGTAAGTAAGACAAACAAAAATATATACAGGATGGGGAAAAGCTTGATACACCCCACATATATACATACCTTGACATGATACTTGACAATATAATGGGCAATCCACAGAGGAATAAAAAGGTGAATTATAGCATATTTTCCAGCATTGTAGACATTGAATACCTAAAAATAATTTTAAAAATTAGTTCTTTGATGCTTGATTACATCAATACAATTTCATTGGATTTGTTGAAATTTAAAAATTATGTTTAATGTTATTTTTATGTAATAGCAAACTATGGTCCTGTAGGAATAAATCTCCTTTGCCTTCTGGAATAGCCTCCAGGTTCTAGAAATGTATCTGTACGTATTTTTTTATCCGTACATATTTATCATTTCATCCTGTACTAAACTATAATTTTATGTATAGCTGAAGTAGCCGTAAAGGTAATTCATTCCAAATAAGTTTTCATCCATCAGTTTGTTGGATACAAATAGGAAAATTCACACAAAATGAAAGCCAAGCTTCTCAGCTCTTCCCACCATGCTGCAAGATAAAAGATGCCTTGCAGCATGTGGTTATCTCAGAGACTTTATATAAATTGTCTTTATCCCCAAAGTTCTTAAAACTTTCACCTGTTGCCAAATTCCTGTTTCGTTCTCCAAATATAGGAAATTCCAGATATATTACAGAAATGCTTCACTTCCTTCACTGTGCCTTTTAATTGCATTGCTTGTAATTTAGTTTTTCAGAGATTTTCAAAAACAGAAGGCTGAAAAACACTGTGTTAGAAAATATTCCTGGATTTCAATGGAGTTACTTCAAACATATACTATACATCATGTACTGGTATGTATAAAAGATCTTTTGTTGTTATTTTGTCCATACTAGGGCCCTGAATAAGATTAATCACCTTTGTGGGACTTCCGGTTTGTCGGCTTCGCGAGCGGCAGGGATTTGCGATCCTGCGCGATCCCTGCCGCGCTAGCCGCTTTGGTGCCTCCGATCCATCGATCTGGAGGCTAGGGCTGCCATGAAGAGGCAGCCCAAGATAGGAGGGATCCGGACAGGGGGTCGGGGTCTTCGCAGACCCCTTCCCCACCCGGCTTAACCCTCTTTTCTCAAGGCGGTGGAGCGGCGGTCAGTAATGGCCGCCACAAAGAAGCTGACAGCTGGACAAGATCGTGCTGGAGGAAGAAGGAGAAAGTGCTGAAGCGAAAGTTTCTTGGCTGAACTGGATTATAAGATACAAGTAATACAAGTAATATCCTGAAAATTTGGATTTTTTGAAAGATACTTTGTTTCCAGAAGAGATTTACAAGCGGCGAGTGAAACTGTTTTAAGAGAAAGTTTACTCTCCTTCCACATGGATTTAACAAACGGATATTGAAAATCCTGCGATTTTAATAGAAGGTAAAAATTTAAAGCTTTCTGTTATAAGTGGGAAGGGAGAGGACAAGAGGAAAATTTTCATTAAGATTTTGTTGGAGAAGATGCCTGGAAGATTTTGAGACTGGAAGTTAATTGTAATAAGACTTTAAAATACAGATTGGTTTTTTTTTTCCCTTGCCAATTGATATTACCCCAGGAAGAAAAAGTGTGAAGAACTTTGTGTTCTGTTTGGATTGTTTGATGACTTTGGGATTTTGGGGAATTGTTTTAAGCTTTGAATTATCTTGGTTGTTTTAAAAAGAAGAAGAGAAAAAAGAAGAAGAAAAGGTTTATAATGGCTTTATCTGTTGATGAACTGAGAGAGGACTATGGTAGAATAAAAAAAGAAGGTAAAGACGGTGTGAGAGAAATTTTTTGCTTTTTAGAAATGGCGCTTGCTACTTTTCAACAAACACAGCAATTAATGGAGGATAAAGAAGAAGAAGAAGAAGAAGAAGAAGAAGAAGAAGAAGAAGAAGAAGAAGAAGAAGAAGAAGAAGAAGAAGAAGAAGAAGCCATCTTTAATGAGTGTACAAAGCTGATCAAGAAAGGAGGGAAAAAGAGAGGAAGGAAAAAGGACATAAGACTTAAAAAAACATCCAAGAAAGAGAAAAATAGGATGCAAAATCAATATACTGTTAGAAAGCAAAAGAAAAGAGAAATGCAACAGAGGAGGGGAGCAAAGGGGGGTAAAAAGACCAGATGGGATAAGATAGAAAGGAAGAAGGGGGGAAAAAGCCACAAAGGTATGAAATAAGATGTGGAAAAAAAATCTTTTTTTTATTGATAATGGGTAATGCATAACTTTGTTTTAAAATGTTTCTGCAAGGTACATGATAGTATTGTAGTATTTGTATGAGAATCAGAAAATCAGAATTTTATAAGGCTTAAGTAAAGATTAAAATATTAAAGGTTTAATAATGATAGATTTTAAGATTTAATAAAATATTAAAAGGAATGTCTAAAACATTTAGTTTAAGTATAGAGTTTAATTGACTATTGTGTGGATGTTTGTACGAACTTATTATTATGGTATTTGTTTTTGAAATAGATAATTGGAATGCTATGAGATTTAATGTTTAATTATATATTTAATTACTTTATGGATTTACTATTTTAGTAAGTAGAATGTACTAAGCAGAATTAGATAGGGAATTAGGTGTTACCTTAAATGTTAATGTAGGGGAGCGATGGAAAGGCATCATACTTCAATTAGTGATTTCAGGAGAAATATTTTTTTTTCTAATATGAATGAGATAAATGGATAATTGGAAAAGAATGGACAAAAGATACAAATATAATGATTTAAATTAAGATGAAATAAATAAAATAGAATTAAGAAGAGTGGAAAGCGGGGAGAAGTTATAATAAAGATATAGAAGGGTAATAAGATAGGTAATGGCATATAAGCTGAACATGAATTTAATTGAAGTCCATACAAAGAGAGGTAATCCGGGGCCAAGCTACTTTTTAAAAAAGAAGTTTTATGTTTTTGTGTTTTGTGTGTGTATGTCTGATTGAGATTTAATAAAACCTTGGGAGAAAGCGAGAGGAATATTTGTAAACAAGGCAGAGGGAAATATGAATATGATGAGTATAAAATGGATAAATATAGAAGAAATGTAATTGAACAAGAGTAAAGAGAAATAATGAGAAATTTGCTTAAAAAATATTTAAGTGGAAATGGGATATATTAGAATTGTATTGTATAAAACAATGTTTTATTTGCCTTGTAAAAATTTATAATGGAAAGAGGTTCAATGTCTTTAATGTTTAATGATGCTTTGTTTGTCTGTAAAATTAATAAAATTTGTTGTTTTTTTAAAAAAAAAAGATTAATCACCTTTGTGACTAAAGACTATACAGGTAGTCCTTAACTTATAATAGTTTATTTAGGGACCGTTCAAAGTTACAACGGTACTGAATGAAGTGACTTATGACTGTTTTTCACAATCACTTCCTTTGTAGCATCTCCATGATCATGTGATCAAAATTCAGGTGCTTGGCAACTGGTTCATATTTATGACCAGTGCTGCGTCTCAAGATCATGTGATCACCTTTTGCGACCTTCTGACAAGCAAAGTCAATGGGGAAGCCAGATTCATTTAACAACCGTTACTAATTTATCAGCTGCAGTGATTCACTTAATAACTGTGGCAAAAAAGTCATAAAGTGGGGCAAAGCTCACTTAACAAATGTCTCACATTACAACCAAAATTGCGGGCTCCATTGTGGCCATAAGTCGAAGGACTAATGGATGTGATTCCCCTGTGTACTTCATTCTTCAATCTCTATTTCCCCCCCCTATTTTCTACTATACTTTTATCTTCTTTCCATCACGACCCCCTCAGAATCAATCTGGAATAGGGGCAATATCTAAACCCAATCCAATCAATAAAGCTCAATATACAAAATCTAGGAAGATCTGATTTGCTAGGGATATTTACAGCCTTACTGTACATATCATTATATTGACCTTAATGCACTTTTTAAAACTCATTTTTTTTTAGCTTTCTTGGGAAAGTGGCGTGACCAAATGACCTATAGATTCAATATCGCTACGGTAGAAAGACACCAGTAATTACTACGGGAGCATCTTTAAGCAAGATGTCAAGAAGGGGTATGTGTGTGGGGGGCGGGGTATTAAACCACACAAATCATAACACGCGTCTGCTAAGTGGCGCTGGTGGGATCTCACATCCAGAGGATCAAGGAAGAGATTGGGTTGCCATCTGTCAGAAATGGTGTAGGGTCTCATGCTTGGAGGGGGTGGTGGTGTTGGACTAGATGACCTACAAGGTCCCTTCCACCTCTATTCTGATTGATTGATTGATTGATTGGAGTTTCTACTTTTAATCCCAATAAAATGTAGGCTTGCAATCTTAACCCATCAAGACCTTGCTTTGCTTCAGTAAACCACCTTCCCCGAAGCTGTTGCCCGGGCCAGATGCTGTACTACAACCCTCATCGTCCTCAACCCCCGTGCCCAGAAGGTACCGACCAGGCTACCCCGGTAGGAACCCCATTTTCCCCCACCCTCCCCTTCTCCTAGGCTTCACCTGTCTCTTCCACAACCTCTCGGGCTGAAGGAAGCGCTGCCAGAAACCTTCCACCCAGCCGACCTTCCGCGGGGGAAGGACCGGTTCCCGGGGGCTCAGCTCCTGGTCTTTGAGCCAGCGGCGCCGGAGCTCGCGCAGCTGCTGGAGCCGGAGTTTCTGCTCCGGTTTGTAGCCGATCACCTCCTCGGGGAGGTCTCTGGGTTCCAACCCCGAACCCCGCGGGATCTTGGCCATCTCTGATCTGGGAACCTGCTGCGGCTCTGCGCCTGCGCGACCTTCCCGCGGAGAGAGGACAGTCCTGGGTGGAGGGAGGCGTAACATGGATGTCACTTCCGAGTCGCGTGCCCAGCCATAGACTTAGGAACAAAGACAAGCGATATCAGACACTATACGAAAGGGCATCTGCTTCCGGTTGCCCATTTTCCTATTTCTTCATTAATTTTTTCCTCATGATTAGCAGGGTTGGAGTAGGCAGGGGGGACGCTAAGCGGGGGTCTCCAACCTTGGCAACTTTAAGACCTGTGGACTTCAATTCCCAGAATTCCTCAGCCAGCAAAGCTTTCTGGGAGTTGAAGTCCACAGGTCTTAAAGTTGCCACGGTTGGAGACCTCTGCGAAGTGTCTCGAAATCTCATTGTCTTGTATCTTAAAACGAACGGGAAAGGATTTTTCCCCAACCGCTCCCCCACTCCCGTATCTTGAATGCCTTTTCTTTATGCAAAAGAGTGATTCCTAATAAAAGAATTGTATACAATATCGGCATAGCATATATAATTATGTGTTGCATTTATTGTGTTATATTAATTATAATATCAGGATGCCTGGACTGTCCCAATCGGAGCGTGTCAAGTGAGCTCTGAGGGGTCCCTGGGGTTCTCAGAACTTGGTTGCTTTCTCACAGATATTTCATTATCCTTTCCTTTGTGCCCATGAAAGTGTGAAGGGTCCCTTAAAAGGGCTAAGTAAACGAGGTCAACCTGAAATTATTCCCTCAGGCAATTTAGCAGGCTAGAAGTGCAAGCCTGTCTAAATTGGAAACTTAAAATGAAAGGCATAATGGATGTGGATGGTGGGAGAGTTTCTACTTCTTTATAATAATTTTGTAGCAGACAGCAAGAACAAGCGAAAAGCACCTGGGAAGAAGATAAACAAATTATCAGCAAATTAATTAAATGGCCCCCACAATGGGAAATATGTTGGCAGATAATGGGACATTCCCAATCACGTTGATTATCATCGGCTTCTTGCATTTCCTCCTGATGCCTGGAAATCAATCCAAAATATGTCATTGGCCCCCAAGGAACAAAGTAAAAACAAATGCAACTTTAAAAGGACCAGGAGAGGAGAGACTCAAACAATAAGGGTTTACCTGTGGTTTTTTTTTTTTAATAACCCTAAATTGGTCAAGACATATTTCCCTTAACATGACATCTGATAAGGGTGAAAGGGTGGTAGAAAAGAAAGTTTGACAATATTTGATGCAGGCTCCATGGAATGGTATGATCTATCCAAGAACAAAAAAGTTTTTTTTTTCAACTTTTGGTTTTAGAACTAATCCATTCACTCAATAGCAATAGCACTTAGACTTATATACTGCTTCACAGTGCTTTTACAGCCCTGTCTAAGCGATTTACATAATCAGCATGTTGCCCCCAGCAAGCCTCCTCATTTTACCTATCTCAGAAGGATGGAAAGCTGAGTCAACCTTGAGCCTGGTGAGATTTGATCTGTCAAATTGCAGTCAGCAGAAGTACCCTGCAGTATAGCATTCTAACCGATGTGCCACCATGGCTCAAGGAATATGTACTCCTGTATATTTGAGCTCTGCAAGATCTCATTCTATCTAGGGAGTTATTAAGCATGGGAAGGTATTAAAATTCATGTGCAGCTGGAGTAAATAGGAATGAACTGGACAGTTTAAGTCTTGCTTTAGGACTATTGGCTACACCTTTATCCTATTACAGTATGGAACCAGCTATCTGGGGCAATGCCCGCCACATGCTAACCTTTTCTGCTTTATTTTCCCTAAAGGGAAAAAAAAGTGCAATTAAGGTGAAAGCAGACAAATTATTCCAGTTCTGGTAAGCTAACTTTCTTTTGGTAGACTTCAATAGCAACTTGTCAGAGAAACTGTGGCCACTTCAAAAAGAATTCTCCAAACTACTGAAAAATTATACGACAACACCTGATGCCATTAGAAAACTACAAATTGAAGTCTCCTCAGTGTATCAAATTGTTACTCAGAACCCTATGACTTTAGATTTTTTATTGGCAGATCAAGGTGGAGTTTGTGCACTCATTAATGCCGGGTTGTTTGTAGATGTACAAGCTATTTTAACTCAGTATGCTGTTTTTCACACTGTAGGTATATGTTGATGCCCCTCTTCCTCTCGGTTTGCTTCACTGAGGTCTATTCATGCCAGGGCACGAGCCTAGAGCCAGACTTGACTGTCACATTGCTATATGACAAGGAATGTCCCACTGAGAAAACAATGATCTGTCTAGGTAGGATGAAATGACATCTCTTCTTCTGTGATGAGATCATTCCATTTATCCACCAAGAACATAGAGAAACAGTGAACTACTGAGGGAAGAAATCACCTTCTTTTCTCCTTCACAGGCAGACCATAAGAAGCATAGCTAGGCCACGTGGTTAGTTCACTGGAACTTTACTTGCAAATGGTACACATAGGACTTTGTTGCTAGTTATATCCATTTGGGAGACACCACTGATCAGCTAAACATCTGTCATGAAAGAAGTATTCTTCTTTCTATCAAGCCCATCAGAAAGAGAAGTATTCTAGAATTAAGCTCTGGCTGATAACTCTCAGAATATATTTCAAGATCATATTCAAACAGAGGTTTTCTTGTTCCCTCTCTGTCTTTTTCTCACACAGTGCATTTGCCTCTATGCTATAATCTGGACTGAAATATTTATTGGGAGATCACCTCCAGTCATCTCATCTTTTTGAGAGATTGGACAGAATCAAAAGTATACATGCAACTCAAATTAGTTTAACAACTGCATGCCTTTGTGTTAATCTAACTGAATTTTCAGCTGAAATCAAACTGAAATCTGTTAGTGACAGTTAGTCAAATAACTCAACATCATTAGTATGTCCTCGTGTTTTCTTTCCCATTCTCTCCTGGGAAAACTAGAGCAAGTTATAGGTGCTCTTTACACTTGCTCGTATAAATGTTCATATTCCCGTTTTCCTTTATTTATCTTGGGAGATTTCGTCCACTTTCTTGCTCAAAAGGTTTATATTGGCCATCTTTCCATGCACCCTGACTCGATAAATGCAGGTGTACTCTGGATTTCCCCAGTTGCTCTGCACTTTGATTTTTACATACTGGAATGCTTTCTCTTGTTCATTCTGAAATGTAGATGAGGGAAGAGAACAAACATAATAAACAGCAATAGAGATGAAGTCACCATCTTGAATGGCTTTATCACTTTAATAGAAGAGTGCAAAACCTGTATATCTGCAAACCTGTTTCCCAAATAGCTGATATAACTGCTTTGGGATTGTTACAAAAGGATTTTTTTTTAACTATGTCCCATTAGCTCCCATCAGTACAGGCAGTCCTCAACTTATGGCCACAATTGAGCCCAAACTTTATGTTGCTGAGTGAGAAATTTCTTAAGTGAGTTTTGCCCCATTTTACATTTTTTTTGCCACAGTTATTAAGTGAATCACTACAGTTGTTAAATTAGTAACACGGATGTTAAATGAATCTGGTTTCCCCATTGACTTTGCAAAAGTTGATCACATCACCCCAGGATACTGCAACTATCATAAATGTACAGAGTCAGTTGTCAAGCGTGCAAAAGTAAATCACGTGGCCATGGGGATGCTGCAATGATCATAAGTGTGAAAAATGGTCATGTCACTTTTTCAGTGCCATTGTAACTTTGAATGGTCATTAAGCAAACTGTTGTATGTTGAGGACTAGCTAGCTAGCTACATCTTATCTAAACTACATTCCTTAGGAGGAGCTCTGATTTTCCAGCTCTAGCCTAATCCATTCCTTAAAACGCTGAATTAAAAATTGTCTGATTTTTAGGAGATGTGGCAGAACATGGAGAGGTTCTTTCAAAATCGTTCAATCCGACATAGCCTCTTCAGTTTTATTCTATCCTACTGCACTCATTTTTGGTTCTACCTCTACCCCACTTCTCTCATTTCTAGTTTACCTTCAGTTGGAATGTCTGAATTAATTCTTTCTCAGTATCATACATGAACGTTCCCAGCAGGATCTCCTCTTTTGTTTCATCATTTAGCCCCTAAAATTAAAGGGAGGGAATCAGAGTAGAAGATTCAAAAGAAGAGTTTAAATGCTGCAGTGGCCCTGAAGGACAACCTAGAAACAGTTCTTGGTCAACGATGTCAGGTCAGTGCAGAGATAAAAGAAAGGAAGCCTTGAGTCTCGACAGGCAGACACTCTTAATGGTGAGGGGAATTATTTTATACGAAATGGGCAGAGAGCTATGGAGAGTGGTGTGATAAGTACACTCTTCACCCTGACTATTGCTAGGGGCATTTGAGACACTGTTTTTAACATGATGTTGAGATACCTGCGTTAGGGCTTGTATCAGAGAGCCATGCTGCTGATTTCCAGCAATTCTGGTGTACTGATCTAGAAATTAATATTCTCAGAAAAAGCTGGAAGTAGCAGGAAAAAGTCTTGTCCATTTCATCCTCCTCCCAGATATTGTATTCCAAATCACTATCCTGTTACAGAGATTGTAGTGAAGGAAGAAAGTTTCCCTGATAGTCACCTTATGGAAGAATCCCAGGGAGTGGGTAATCAGGGGTGTCCAACCTTGGCAACTTTAAGACTTGTGGACTTCAACTCCCAGAATTCCTCAGCCAGCTTTGCTGGCTGAGGA